GTCTAAAGAAATACCATCATAAGGAATGGATCTCTACAGAAACACTGGACAAGATCAAAGAAAGGAAGAACAAGAAGGCAGCAATAAACAACATCCGAACACGAGCAGAGAAAGTCCAAGCACAAGCTGAATACATAGAAGCAAACAAACAAGTGAAGAGGAGCATTAGAGCCGACAAGAAGAAATACGTTGAAGAAATAGCAACGACGGCAGAAAAAGCTGCTAGAGAAGGAAATATGAAGCAGCTTCACGATACAACGAAGAAACTAGCATGGAAATACAGTAAACCAGAGAGGCCGGTCAAAGACAAAGAAGGCAAGCCAATCACTGAAATTCAACAACAGCGTAACAGATGGGTAGAATACTTCGAGGAACTCCTGAATAGACCGGCCCCAACCAATGCACCGGACATCGAAGCAGCACACATAGATCTTCCTATAGATGTCAATCCACCAACGATGGAAGAAATTAGAATGGCCGTCAGACAAATCAAGAACGGGAAAGCAGCAGGATCCGACAACATACCAGCTGAAGCACTGAAATCAGACATCGAAGCAACCACAAGTATGCTTTATCTTCTATTCAAAAAGATTTGGGAGGAGGAACAAGTGCCGATGGACTGGAAAGAAGGACACCTCGTCAAGATTCCAAAGAAAGGAGACCTGAGCAAATGTGAAAACTACAGAGTCATTACACTACTGTCGGTACCAGGGAAAGTCTTCAACAGAGTGTTGTTGAACCGGATGAAGGATGCAGTAGACGCCCAACTTCGAGATCACAAGCTGGATTCCGTAAGGATCGGTCGTGCACAGACCAAATTGCGACACTACGGATCATCGTCGAACAATCAGTTGAGTGGAACTCGTCATTATAGATCAACTTCATTGATTATGAAAAAACGTTTGACAGTGTAGATAGGAGGACATTATGGAAACTTCTTCGACACTATGGAGTTCCTGAGAAGATTTTTGACATTAGCCTGAACTCATATGACAGACTACAGTGTAAAGTAGTACACGGAGGACAGCTGACAGATGCATTTCAAGTAAGGACCGGAGTCAGACAAGGCTGTTTACTCTCTCCCTTCCTTTTTCTCCTGGTGGTCGACTGGATTATGAAGACCTCGACATCTGAAGGAAAACACGGAATACAATGGACAGCTCAGAATCAATTAGACGATTTGGACTTCGCAGATGACCTAGCCCTCCTATCACGTACACACGAACAGATGCAGATGAAGACAGCCAGTGTAGCAGCAGCCTCTGCATCAGTAGGCCTCAGCATACACAAACGGAAAACCAAGGTCCTCAAATTCAAAGCGGAAAACAGCAATCCAGTCACTCTTGATGGCGAAACTCTGGAAGATGTAGAATCTTTCACGTACCTGGGAAGCATCATCGATGAACAAGGAGGATCCGATGCAGACGTAAAGGCGAGGATCGGCAAAGCAAGGGTCGCATTCCTACAATTGAAGAACATATGGGACTCAAAACAACTTTCAACCAATATCAAAGTGAGAATCTTCAATACGAACGTCAAGGCAGTTCTACTCTATGGAGCTGAAACTTGGAGAACTACAACAACCACAATCAAGAAAGTACAAGTATTTATAAATAGCTGTCTTCGCAAGATACTCAACATCCATTGGCCGGATACCATCACCAACAGCCTTCTGTGGGAGAGAACAAACCAACTTCCAGCTGAAGAAGAAATTAGGAAAAGACGATGGAAATGGATAGGACATGCATTACGCAAATCGTCAAACTGCATCACGAGGCAAGCCCTAACTTGGAATCCTGAAGGGAAGCGAAAAAGAGGAAGGCCAAAGAACACATTGCGTCGGATAATAGAAGCAGATATGAAAACGATGAATTACAACTGGACGGAGCTAGAAAGGTTTGCCCAGGACAGGGTTGAATGGAGAATGCTGGTGAGCGGCCTATGCTCCTTCGCGAGGAGTAACAGGCGTGAGTAAGTAAGTATTGTGCAATATTCAAACAAGTCGGTGTTAAACGTACATTCAAACGGTAATTAATCAATAACATATTTTGTAGATGGTTTTAAGTTATAATTCGCGAACTATCATAAATTATGACAGTTTCTCATCCTTTTATTTGCTACAACTATATTTTTCATTCAACATATATAAGATGAATGGATTGTAGTACATTTCACTCTCGTTTTGTCAAAGGATAGATAAGGAGGAGAATATCCCAAGAACTACTAAATGCTATGATGAATTAATTGACATAAAGTGTTCGTGAAGTAGTTCCGAAGCCAGAATGCCCAGGAGTGATGTCGTTCACACAATTGGAAAATTAAAATTTAGTCCCTAAGTTCGACAGTCGGAAATTCGGGGTAAGGCTTGATGCTTACGATAGTAGAAATGAAGGATTATTTAACATGAATGCGACTGAACCGGACACTGACTTAGAAGTTCATGCTTACCTCAGGGAGCTTAGGTCAAATAAAGATAAAAAGCATGCCAATTTCATCACGTCCAAAATTTGAAATATGATCAGTTTTCACAAAGCACTCAGTGTTTTTGGAAAATTGTATGACGAGCAGTCATTAAATTTCATCACTCGTTATAGTTATATACAAACACCCGACAAAGCTGATGATGTTTATCTTGTTTATTCGGACAAAGTGAATTTCAGATACAAAAATGTAAACCTTGTCTCAATATTACAAAGTTAGTCCAATTGCAACATACCTATATATAGAATGTAGCCACCTACTGATCTTAATGAGCATAATGCACATACAAATATCCCCTCCAAATGCTTTATAGACAAAGTGAGTGTACATGAATCACATGTTTTGTTACTGACAGGTCGAAATATAAAATGTGCTTATTCATATTGTGAATGGAATAATGACATCATATTTTTCGGTACGAAAGGTGAAAAAATCACCATGTATAATATTACCCATACACGACAAGATCATATAAAAGAATCCCTCAACCGTTATGTATGACTACATGCCGCAATACTCTCAATATAATGAAGGTGTGAGTAGTGTTGAGACGCTTCAGGCCAATAAAGTCACATTAATTGTAACGTGGGTACATAAAGACCCAATATTGTTTCGTACGGGAGGGAAAGTCATTTACACGTTGAACGAAGGAGTAGAGCATAGATGTCAGGAGCTAAAGTCAATTTTTTTTCAAAGAAAGCTGAAAAACCAACTGGAAGCGAGGACACAACAATGTAACCGACCGAAAGCTTATTCCTATGTATTCCATGAAAAAAGAAGATGAGGTGATACGACAGGAAGAAAAGACAAAATCACATTATTTTACCCATCGTGATTTTTGCTCAGCATTGCTTCCGCGTTTTAATTCAATGTGATGTTTATTAAGATTAATATTTGTTTTATAAGCAGAGATGAATGTTGGCTAACAGTGGAGTCCAGGAGGCGCGTTTCATCCTATTTTGGGATAACATCCTGGATTCCAATGCTAGCCACCATCCACCTCTGCTTATAACGTTTGTGACTTATGGTAATATCGAGGCAATCCGCACAAGATGCATATATGCTAATGAGAAACTGATCAATCGCTGTCCTAAACATCAATGGGAAACTTCAAACAACTCATACAAAAAAGAACCTATATTTGTTTTGTTTCCCAGTGAGGTATTTTATTCGTTATAACATTAATGTATTTGAGTGTGCTGTTCATTCAAGATACGATATTCTTGTATAAAATTAACATGAACTGCGCGCAGCATGACATGCAGCATGTGATGTTATAAATCTGGGTATTTCTTATACATGTGATTGTATCTTAATTAATAATCAAAATGGACGAATAATCAGTATACATTGAGTGCATTTTCGACTAGAGTCGTCATGTTTTGGATTTAATAAGACTTCACTTGTACCAGTCCTGGTGTGCTTACTTCACATCGTGGGAATTGCAGTGGTTTCTCGTTCTTCTAAGTAAAAGAATACCCAACGCGAATATAACACGTTTGTTTTCCAATATTAATAATAGTGGTAAATTCCAGGCATTATACAATGTGTGTAAGTACCTACAGTTAGCATTCATACTTATTTAATTCAAATAAATCATAAACGTGAAGGTCAATCCCAATATTAAAAAATAGAAAGGTAGGCGGCTCAAATGTTTAAGCACATCATCGGAAGGTTAAATGAAGTGAAATAAAGTAACACGCAGCAGAGTCGAGACCTGAACTTCAATTACAAGTTCCACAACCAAAACAACCATGAATCAATCTGACTACAACTTACACACTTTTGAAAAAAGACATATTACAAAGAAGCTGTCAGTGATTCTGAACTAACTAACTAACGTATCGGTCCCCAAATACCCTGGTATAGCCGAGAGTGAGGAGAGTCGGCTCTCCCACTAAAAATGCTCTCACATGGCCTCGTACAAACAACCACTGCAAGGGAAGTCCTACTCACTGCATTTTACAATAACGGGTGTTGTTTACGAAATTGAGAGGATGAAAAGTGAATGTCCGACACTTCAACTGGTTTGGTGGACACAGAGGGTCCACCTAAGTGAGTTGCCAAACCCTGATTACAAACCAATGGTGAACATGGGACCCAGGATCCTGAAGGAATAAATGGCGTATGAAACAATCGTTGGTCACCGGACACCATGGGGCTGCATCTCCTGACGTCGCTCCACTACTTTGTGGATTAGACCTTTTAGGTCAAAGGCTTGGGGTGTGGCCCCCTAAAAAACCACCTACTTCGGCTTGGGCACCCAGGCAGTATCCCAGGCGTCACAAAAATCGAATGATTTATGTGGTGCATATCTATTTAGTGCCTCCATGTATCAATGTTTATGTGTTTAAATAAATAACGTATTATTTATATGGATATTCGTCAAGATTGGAACAAATAGTTTGATGACAATTAGGCGCCGAGTATAGGGAAGTCATTATATGTAAAATTATATTTGAAATGATCTCACCGATTGAAATTTAAATAATTCCAACGTTTCGTTCATCCAACTTATCTGGACTTCTTCGGGGTAATAATCAAAATTATCAAAGAAATATTAGCGTATGACACCATAAGATCGACATAAGTTAAAGTTATGTTACCAAAGGAAGAACGACAAAATATTGTCTATGAGACCAACTGTCATGATTGTAATACAGCTTATGTGGGAGGAACATCCAGGCGATTGAATGTAAGGTTAAAGGAACCTAAACGGTGTTTGAAAAATGTCCCCAAATCCTCGGTCGACCTAAAGAAACTTGAGAATAAGTCTGCGATAATGTTACATGCGTTGGAAACAGGACACAAGATTAATTTTGAAGGGACAAAAATACTTCAGAAATGTTTTAACACTCATAAAGAAGGATTGACAGCAGAAGCGCTGTATATATGGGCAAACAAGAACAGCTTAAACCGAAAGGATGATACTCAGTTAGCAGCTACTTGGCAAATATTCATTGATAAGTAATTGGACCCTTTCTTTATTCAACCTGTTTATTTCACGTGCATCGTTATCTTGACTGAAGTTAATGTGAGTTATTTTTAGCAATACAATCACGCATTTGATGAATCTCATTTTATATACACATCAATGATTCAGAAACGATTTTTCAACCTTCAACTTTCACTTTTATTTTTTCCTTCATATAAAAACATTAACACCAAGTATCAATCATTAATAACCCAATCTTACACACACTATTCGTTTAGTCATTTATTTTCATATCGTGAACTTTCCAAATGATTCGCATTTAACTGACTCATGTTATTCTAATTGCTAAAATCAACATCCAAATATGATTGGATTAACACAGTATAGATTTGATCTGATTTGATTGTTAAAACGCTATATACTTCTTTGGTGATTTTGATTATTATCCTTAAGAAGTCCAGACAAGTTTGCTGGACGAAACGTCGGAATTATTTTGAATTTCAATCACTGAGATTATTTCAGATATAATTTTCACACATTTTGTTAGTTGTCTGTTTCACTATGCCACGCAGTGAAATCTGACAACTTGAATTGATGCGCAAGTGTGTTGCATCCTACATTGCTGCCCATCACCAACCATTTTATAGAAAAGGAAAATAAATCAAATGATCCAAGACTATTCAACAGAATTTATAGATTTAAAATACCAAAAAATCTGATATAGTCGATAGTAATAATAATAAACGTAATAAGTTTCAATTATAATGATAGATACTGTATAATATAGAAGATAAATCGTATATAAATGGCAACAGCGATGAATTTTGAACCTGTTTAGTAATAATAAATACTGTCAAATAATGTGGAACAACAGATTATGTTCAATGAATAAAAAAAGTAAATCGTGTTCATCTCTCTCAAGAACACCTAGAATGGTGTATAAATTGAAGAATAAAGGTGAAGTTTGCTTTGAACCATACATAAGTTATAGAAAAAGCTTAATAATCTTTCAAGGGATGAAAGAAAATATATATGTGAAGTTTTGAAGAATAACATCAAACGGTAAATATGTGAGACGTTTTGCGAATAACTATTCATGCTACTTATTACTCATTAATAGTAGTAGTAATTGTTAATGGTGCTGATATCGTTGAAGGAAAATGAAATGTACTGATGTAAGGGGAAAAAAATTATAATTGAACACAAATTACATTTTGTAGACATGTTTAAATAAAAAGAGAAAATAAAGGTAATTAATGAGGAAAGAAGCTAAAACTGAGAATGTTATTATAGCACTAAGGTAATAATCACAATAAGAGTATGTAGGTGATGGAATTATGTAGGAAGATAATATTTGCTAACTTTATTATGACTTTTCTCAGGGAATGAGTCAGCTCCAAAGAAAACAAAATACGAAACAGAACAACAGAGACATTTCCTTGAAATGTTTACAGAAAGACAACGTTATAGTTTGCAAAAATGAAATAATAAAGGTAAACATGGTTGGATGAACAACTTCCCAGTACGGTGGGTAGAAGAGGAAGACGATGATGATGAAGGAAAGTTGTACATAGATAAAGAGAAAAAAATACACTAAATACATGTATATGTTACCTTACACACAGACATACACGAATGCATATTATAAGAAGAATAAATATGTAACGAAAATAGAGGGAAGAAATTAAATAAACGCAATTCAGCAGGCGCTAACAAGTATGGAAAGCTGATGTGATATGGAATAGTAAGAAACTAAACAGAAAACGCGATAATCAGCTGAGGATCAGTGAAGAGAAGGAAGAACAACACAGCACCCAAAAAAGAGAAGTAAGCAACTGAAAAAAAGACTCATAGCACTAAACTCTGAAACAAATAAAGCGGTAGCAGTGATAGAAGGAGCAGCAGACAAAAAATCAAAAGGCAAGAAAAACTGACGGAGTAGCCAGTGTCATTGTATCAGGATTCAGCAGTAGTGAAATGAACAACAGAATAAGAAAATGGTTAGCTACGTTTACATACAGGATGTGTCAGTGTAACTGAATAGGCACCAAGTACTGGAACAAGTGTTCGTGCATAATGATAAATCATTTGTGAAACACTTGCATACGGTTGACTATATTCTCCTAGAATAAATTGACCAGTACTATTTCGTGTAATTTTCATATGTAAGAAGGATTTATGTCTGAAGTGAAACATAATTACAAAAAAAAGGAAAATCAAGCAGTGTTTATACCATTGGTATTAGTACAAATTATAGTTTTTTTTAATTATATTGACTCTGTTATGATTCCTAACCGCGTTAAGCATAAAAGCCTAATCAATTTACAATCATATGTGAAAATAATATGACAGACTGATACAAATTATTGTGTGACCTTTTTCTGACCTTTGCATGTTTCGTTGTGACTTTATTGATTAGATTATATTCGTGAACGTCTATACTTTTTTTGCAGATATTATTCCTTCTCTATTTCCACTTATGTACTTGTGTTGATTGTTCACTGTTAACGTCGAACATATTTTAATTGTTCTCATTTTATGTGTGTCTGGCATATACACTCTAATTAGTTATCTATAATTCATGCATTATTTACACCTTATAAAAACTAAATCACGTATTATTCACTAGGCAAGTTATGCAGTTACTCCTGTTTGCATCTATGCAACTTTTATATTCATTCGGTTCAGTTTACCGTGGTCACATGAATATATCTGAAATATACACGTCTTGAATGTAATTCGTATTCGGCTTTCTATTTCTATATTGTATCAACGTGGTTAGTCAACAGAAGATATACGAAGTTAAATAGGCAATATGTATTTAATTAGCACAATCGTTTAATCATATTAGTCAGAAAACAGGCACTAAAACTCATTCAATTGCTTAACTGCCAATGGCATGATCAAAGTTACTAAAAAAACACTTTAGACATTCTAATTACTGTATGTATTAAAAACAGATGAGTAGGATTCAAGTAGGTCGTAAATTGTACGAGAGGGATAAGAATTAATTCAAATATCCAACGAGAAGCTGTATTCTGTGAAATCAGTGAGGTAGGAAGTAATAGAGGACAAATAATCACCGATAACATTAAATCATATCCAAACTATAAAAAGTGCAAAATAATTATAATTATTATGAGTATGAGTAACTGGATTTAAAAGTGAGACATTAAAGTTAACTAAGGCTTTACGATACTATTGCAATATCCCCGTTGCTGCTGTAGTGTAATGTAGCTTCGGAATAAAAATAAGACAGTTTCCGGTAAACTACCAAAAGATTTCAGTTAATTGAAATGGAAAATATCTTTTAATTACCAGGTGAAGCTGGGAACGTGAACGAGATTTGATTTACACTTGACATAATTTACAAGGTTCTATGTTTAATGAAAAACCCTTAGGTCCTGGGCCCATCCACAAGGAAGATTATAAATGAGCACTACTGATAAGTTTCATACACAAATACAAAACAGCTATTCTGTGCTGTCTTGTACTAATTGATTTATGAAATGCTATCTCTTCATGATGAAGACTAATATGTAAAGACGAAACGACACAATATTTTACGCAATATGCAGAGTAGTTACTCGGCGGTTAAGGCACTCAACACTCAGCCATCAAGTCTCGGGTTCGGACAGCACTCTATATACTTTGGTTTGGGAGACCAGGTGTTACCGCTAAACCTTATACTCAGAGCGTGGCTTGAAGCCAAGTAAACTAATCTATACCTTGAATAACAGTAAATCACTCTTCACAATAAGGCCTTTCAAATAGCTTGACAAATCATAGTAATAATCATAATAATAACAGTAACTTACTTGATAGTTAGAGAAAAGTCATTAGGGCATGTTTCACTGGGACGAACAAGAAAACTACCTTCTGGTTCATTCCGTATTAGTTCTTCAGCTTCTGATCTTGTTAATGACGGATGAAACCATCTATTATTTTTTTTAGTACAATATACACAACATTAATAGAAATACTGGTGGAAAAAATGTTATATTATTATTATTGACAAAAAGGAATTAATAGATAATAATACATAATAAAAGAATAAGTAATTATTAATTAAATTAATAAAGGAAATACGTTCATCGTACTATTAAGTTGAAACAAATAAATATCAGAAATAACTTTTTTAATATAAGCCACTAACCATTATTTCTAATTTGAAAACTTTGACATAAACAAACATGGTTAGCCTATTCACACTTGGAGACTGTCACTAGTGAGCATTTGATGATTATAATCAGAGAGGGGGTTTGTGGATATTATAGTAATTTAGCAGTTGAATTCACCATCTTATAGTAATCTAGCTTCAATTGACTCATGAATTCAACTAGTAAATTACCATAATATCCACAAACCCCTCTCTCTAATTATAATCATCATATGCTCACCAGTCACGGTCTCCAAGAGGTATTTCTTGGAGTTCTAGCGGGAAGCAGTGATCAGTGGAGTTCAACCGGGTCTGTTGTGAGAGTAACTCACTGATGACAATGGTGGACGGTGGCGCAATTTCGTGGATTGGTTCAAGTCAGACATTAAACACCATCAGATAAACGCTCAGTGGTCTAGAGGCCAAGCGTTCGCGCGCGAGACTGATAAGTTTTGGGTTTGAATCTCGAGAGACGGGATCGTAGATGAGCACTTATGAGGAGTCCCATACTGGGACGAGACGGCCGTCCAGTGCTTCCAGGTTTTCCATGGTGGTCTAGCTTCAATTAACTCATGAATTCAACTACTAAATTATATACATATAACATTGAAAACTCTATCAGATGTAGTGAGTATCATTGCGGAAAAAAAAGAGTAACTGAAGAAGATGAAAATATAAATAATTGTAGAATAATGACATAAACGTTTTAAAAGGATTATAAAATTGATTAACATCCGTGATTACTTAGAACTTTACAATCTACACTAAAACACTTTTATCATAACACAATTAATTCCATTTTATTATTGTTTTTTTTGTTTTGAAAGAAAAAAAACATGATCAAGTTAACTTATCTATTGTAAGGTGAATTGTTTATTTTATTTTGTCAGCTTAAATGATGATGATAATAAAGCTTATTATTATTAATACAATTTTAGAAAGAAAAAAACTAGGATTAATCCTGATAGTCAAGTTTTAGCAATAAGTGTTCTAACTTAAATATTTAATGACTTTCGTTTAGGTTTATTTTTTTAAATCTAATATTTTATTTTTTATTTATTTTAACGCATAGATATTGGTACAAGGAGGCACCAAATACATATGCACTACACAGATCTCATTTGATTTGTGTGAGGGCTGTGATACTGCCCGGGTGCCCAAACCGAAGCAGGTGGTTATTTAGGGGACCCCACACCCGGAGCCTTCGACCTGAAGGTCTGATCCATAAGGCAGTGGAGCATCGTAAGGAGATGTAGTCCCATGGTAGCCAGCCAGTGACTAACGATTGGCTCATACACCATTTGTTCCTTCAGGATCCTGAATCTCATGTTCACCATTGTTTTGGAATCAGGGTTTTCCAACTTCCCTAGGTGGACTCTCCATGTCCGCCAACCCGGTTAAAGCGCCGGAAATTCACTTTTCGGCCTCTCAATTTCGTAAACAACACCCCCGCCACGAGAAGGCAATGAGTAGGACTCCCCTGGCAGAGGCTATATACGCGTGGCCATGTGAGAGCATTTGGAGAGGGAGAGCGGACTCTCCCCACTCTCAGCCGTATCAAGGCATTTGGGGGCAAATTTAATATTTAGTATATAAATATATAACATTTACTAAAAGGAAGTACATTTTACTGATATTTATCTAATATTCTTGTATTGAAAGAGGGATAGTTTTATTACGTCAATTTGATCTTTACAAATAATTGTTACTCGGTCAAATTTTAAATCCGTTTAGAGAATCTATTGTATACCCGAACAGTATTCCTTTACAACTGAATAAATCTGAATCATAAGTTCAGTCACATAATGTAACTAGAAAAAAATATTGAAAGAGTGAAATTGAATTTGAATATGTAAACCATTAGATGTCAATTTAGTTATCTGAGGACTGAAATGGTCATCGTGAGCCTCGAATGACCAGAACTCTGATTGAGTCGTGGATACACAATGTTGAGGAGAATCATATTGAAACGAAACAGTTGTTCGATGCTTGTTAATTTTCAATAATTGTCTAGTCACAGTCAATTCGTGATGTAAACTTTAAAATTAAAATATTCATGTTCATCTCCTTACCATATATTGAATGTTAATCGTATAAAATTTGAAATTGATGAACTGAAAAAAAAGATTGACCACTGAGAACACCTCAATTTTGTAAGGTTGCAGACAGAATTTACATCAAGTTCTAGGTTTAGAAGGAAACTTAATTCAAATAAACTTCTTTAATATTTTGAAACAATACTGATAAACAACAATGACAAAAGTCATCTCTTTTATTATTGATCCAACGAAAAGATAACTATCAGAATGAGGATTTGTGGTGATTGTAGTAATTTCAATAGTTGAAAAGATAATTGTCAAATGAATTTCGATGTTGATTCGACTGGTGATACAGTAAATAAATAGACATTTTCAGTTCAACAGCTATGATAACAAATCTAATCATTGTATGTTTGTTGGGATATTCAGAAAAATATCCCAAAACTTATTCTGTCAAGTCTAGTGCTATCCCTTGGACTTGAGATGGTATCATTTTCCTATTGATCAATACTTATTTCACGTGTCATTTTCCTGTTGGCCAAATATTGTACAAATGTTATTTTCTATTTTATGGTACGATGTGGTCTGCTTGATTGGTATATAAACAGAGTATGTTTGGAATATAATGATTCATATCGCAGAGGCTGAGACTTGTGTTCTGGACTTATCTGGCTGGGCTAGGTGGAAGGCGGGACCAATCAGAACTCTAGACTGCTCGCACGAGTTTACGTGTCATTGTTCCGATCGATAAGTCACTGCTCTCTAATCGGCGGTCACAACTTATAACAATGTTTAAGCTCATTGGTTAGAAAACTTATCATATTTAAAAAAACATATCTGGAAAAAACTACTTAATATCAGTTGGTAGGAAGTATAAAACAGTGTGTAGAAAATAATAACGAAGTCATGTGAACAAAAAGGAAACGAGAGAATTCTCTTCTCTTCCAAAAATAAAACAATAAGCACAAGAAACAAGAGAGTGGTAATGCATTTTTTTCTGGAAAGCGTAAAATGTTTAACTAGTTAGTTAGACAGGCGAATAGAAAAATGGACAGAACATTCTCCACAGAAATCGATGAAGAAAAAAGGCAACACGATAAGGGCACTAATAATAATAATAATAATAATAATAATAATAATAATAATAATAATAATAATAATAATAATAATAATAATAATAATAATAATTAATTAATTAATTAATATCATATTCGTAGATGATACATTCTTGCGTTTGTATGTCCAGGTACGTATGGTTTTACTAGCACTTAATTTGATGGACTTTTTTATTGGTGTCTAACGGTACCTTATCAACTTTTTTGAAAATGATTGCGAAAAGACCTGAACATTTAACTAAATAATATAAAATAACTTTATTAAATAGAAAAATAATTATTTACGATTCAGAATCATATAAATTTATGCATGATAACTGATATTTAGTTAAATGTAGACAATATAGTTAGAAATCTATTTATATATATAGATAATTTATAATATGTTTATGTAAATTATTATTATTAATGGCATTGTTCAATATTATATTTTTGATAGAATTCTTAGCATAAAGTACTTCAACAAGTTTCCTTTCTTATTTCTTGAACTATCCTAACGATAAATAGTGAGTGATCGCCAGTTAGATTTTAGCAGTTTAGAAATCGACATCTGAATAATGTTCATTCTTTTCAATGCATATTGCCAGCCGCTATGATGTCTCTGATTGTACATTTTTGTAGCTTGTACAGCAAAAGGTCATAAACTTTTCATAAACGTGTCTGTATAGGTTGTGCGATTAATAGATATAATGATGTTATTATATTCGGACAAGAATAAGTGAATAGTAAACGGCGATAATTATTTATGGATTAATTTTATGTATATATTCTTATTGTATAACTGTTGAAAAACGAAAATACATATGTTTATATTCCTCTTATTATAAGCTTTTATTTGACCTATTAGATAATGCCATATGATTTACTATTCTCAATTTATTCTCAGTATATTGGTCACAGTTTCTCACAATCACAGCCACTTTTTTGGCTTGATCTTGCACAAATGTTATTTTCTATTTTATGGTACGATGTGGTCTGATTTTGCTTATATATAAACCAAGTATGTTTGAAATCTATGATTCGATATAACGGAGACTGATATTTGCGTTCTGGACTGAAGCGGCTAGGTTGAACGAGAAGATGCTATCTCAAGGACTAATAAGAAATCTATGTTGCTCGTACTGGTTTATGCGTCATTGGTCCGGTCGATAAGTCGGTGACTTTAATTAGTGATCGTATCAAAATAATGATTTTTTTGGCCTTCAGAAATCCCTGGTCCCACTAGCACTACAGTTTGTTCAAGCGATAGCCCATATGATCAGTCAAGCATAATAAACCACAGTCTATGCAAATCCAAAATACACAACATCAATAAGGAAGCTCTCGGCTTTTTTATACTCCATACTCCCTTTTTAAACTTATTACTTATCAATGCACGTTCACTTCTGAACAAAATTTCAGCCTTGAGAACATTAGCTTTTCTAGCCAAGCCTTCTTTCATACCTATCACTGAAACATGGTGCTCTCAAGCAGTATCGGATTCAGAATTGAATATCCAGAACTATAGACTCTATCGCTGTGACAGAGAAACTAAGCGAGGAGGTGGTTGTATTATATATGCTTTGGATACCCTAACAACTAATAAAGTTGAAGATAGTGTCCTGAATAGTTTAACAGAATCAGTCTGGATATAAGTCAACACCCTGAATCATAGTCTACTCCTTAAATGTATATACAGAGCTCCTGATAGTTCGAATAATGGGAATGATCTTATTATCAATTCATTCATACATGCAACTGCTCTAAACTTTAATGCTAAGGTTATCACTGGGGATTTCAATTATCCTGGGATTACCTGGAGTACCGGTAGTTGTCAGTCATGTAGTGATGAGTTCTCGGCAACCCTTAACATGCACTGCTGGTCACAGTGGGTTCGTACCCCAACTAGAGGCGATAGTATACTCGATCAAATATTTAGTAGAGATGTCATCCCACTATCTGTAAAAGCATACGATGAATTTGAAAGCAGTGACCATAAGATAGTAGTTTGCGCTCTCCCTATCTATCCCTCTTATAACCGACCCATTCAAAAAACCTGTCAATATAGAGACTATAAGCATGCTGACTGGGACCTCCTGCATTCACCGATTAAACTTTCAGACTGGGATAAGTTTTTTTCATGTAATAGTTTCACGGATGCTATCGATCGTTAACTGATCGTTAACTCTTGTTTAGATTCCTGTGTACGTCTTGAAACGTACAGGTTTGATAAACCTTACGAACTATATATACCAGCTGAATATCGTAATAAACTAAGACGCCTACAGAATCGTTATTTTAAGTCAAACGACTTCACGGCAGTTGCACAAATAACAATAATTTTTAATCAAATTAAAGAGAAACATGAGTTAAAAACCATTAATGAGGAGATACTAGCACTTAATACTAACTCAAAGGTACAAAACCTAACTCTCCTTTTCAATAAACGTGCCAAAGCAACTCAAAATGTTGATATACCATGCATCCAGCATAATAACAATTTTATATACGACTCTAAAACTATAGCAGACCTTTTCAGTGGTATTTTTGGGAATGGTGTAGGAATCATAAGTGGCTCTGCTTCAAGAGTTATGTGCGTGACTAGCAACTCAATAAAATCCTTCACATGCATGAAAATTAATAAGGTTATAAATACCCTTAAGCTTTCATGAGGTCATGGGGCTGACGGGATGTCATCCTTCTTCTAGAAATATGGTGGTCCAGATATTCCACTTCTTCTTCTAAAGCTGTTTACTCTCTCTATGGAAACTGGTTCTTACCCTAACTGTTGGAAAACCGCGTACATCATACCACGTTACAAATCTGGAGATAAGACTGACATGAACAATTACCGGACAATAAATATTACTCCAGTTATTTCTAGGATCATGGAAAAAATTATAAGTGATGAACTTTCCAACTATATGCTCGCTGGAAAATTTATCAATGATACTCAACATGGATTTCTTAAGAATCGTTCTTGCATGACATGTCATTTTGACTTCTTTAATTTAGTCTATTCTCTACGCAGCCAAGGATATCCAGTCTTAGTGCTATATCTGGACATTTCCAAAGCCTTCGACATGGTTAGCCAGCAACTCCTTATAAGTAAACTCGCCTCTTATGGGCTTCGAAATCCTTTGCTAGCTTGGTTTGATTCCTTTCTCAGCAATCGACATCAAATAGTTAAAATTAACTCTTCATTGTCTGACGTTGTCCCTGTTAGAACTGGTGTAATACAAGGTAGTGTCTTAGGCCCTTTGCGCTTTTTAGTGTTTATCAATGATATTTGTGAAAGTTTTTGTGTGGGTAAGCCCCTCCTATATACAGATGATCTTAAAGTAGTATATTCATTTTCTCCACATGAGCTGAAAAATATGCGAAATTGCATCAGCATGGAGCTTAACAAGGTAGCACAGTGGTGCTTAAGATGGCAACTGGAGTTTATTACGACTAAATGTTGATGGATATGCTTCGGCGATACATCACTCAACCTAGACCTTACCATAAATGGAGAAGTGTTATCTAGGTTACACACAGTAGTAGACTTAGGACTTAGATACTCCCAAGACTTGTCGTTTACAGAACAGATATTGAAACAGACTTCTAAGTCTCAACGTCTAGTAGGTTACATAACTCGAAACCTTTATAACAATGAGTCACGTATTTTAATGTACAAAGTTTGCTTTCGACCTCTTCTAGAATATTACATGTTTATTCTCAGCAGTGCATGCACAAATGATAAATTATGGCTGGAATCAGAACAGAGACGATTTACACTTCGTATTCTTGGAGCTGATTGTACCTTAACTTATAATTCTAGATGTAATAAACTTTGTTGGAACCACATGAAGTTTATGCTATCAAAGATTCTACAATAAAAACTGTGTTAAGTGTCATTTATGTTGATGTCGGTCTTTATTTTGATCTCTGTTGATCGTTTCATGTTTTGTTAACATTGAAAAGTTTCCATTTAACTCATTATACAGAGAGGTTACATGTTTTTCTGGAATTGAACGTCACTTACTTTCATGATTTGTAAATTCTTGTATACAACCTATTATCCCTTACTGTCGCCCATTATTCTTTCATGGACTTTGAAAAACGATTGCTGAAGCTAATTAACAAGGTATGTGGTGAATCTTTTGTTTTCGTTACTTATATGGTTATGAATAGACACTTGAAATCTTGTAAACATCAGGAGTGTAATTTTATCAGACATTAACCAATCACTCCATTTACGCTTTTCTACTTGTATATCTCCTGATAGAACGAAACGATGATACATTACAATCCATGCACGCTAAAAAAGCACGAAAGCTTCACAATACTGTATCTAGCACACAAGCTATTCAATAAGCATGCTATAAAGGATGACTTAACCTAAAACGTATACTCTTCAGCCTGTTGCTTATCCACTCTGGCACAGACTTCCACATTCTTGGAAGAATTTTTACTTAATTTTCATTACTTATTTGGGTATGGATGTAAATAAAAATTTATTGTGACTTATAAAAAGAATAAGAGACGTTTGTTGGAACGTTGTAAGTTGGTTAGTAGTTAAGTATCTCATAGTTTTATAGTTTCGTGTATTATAGAACAAATTCCCACTTTCTCCACCGTCTTTTATATATCATTATGATAAGTGTCTTTAAAATTAAGCAGACTTATTCGAATGTTGGAGATTAAATGACTGTCACTCACAAGATAAAATCGTATTCTTCTGATCATCAATCGATAATCATTAAATTTCACTGGTTCGTATAATAATTTATTGAGACCGGTAAAATTTATTGGTCAAACTAGTACTATACGGAAATTAGATTCGGGTTACTACAGTTATCATATTTTGTTAGTTAATTAACAGACTATCAAACAGAAATAATAAAACAGGACCTGTGACCTGATGTACATATGAATAGGTGATGTGTCAGTTCAATTAACACATAGTTCTGATTCGATCCAATATGACAGATTGACAAGAAATAAATCTTTACAATAATAATGAAAAGTTACGTTTATAATTATTGAAGAAATGAATAAATGAAATGAAATATAAAGGTATGAGTTAACCGGTTCATCTTCAAAATAAGTTGAAGTACTCACAAACAAGAGGTTGTTATTAATTTAATTAGATAATTGAATAAAAAACTGTTATTGTGGAAAAGAACTTTATATATAACTATTTAACCAGCCAACTCATTGAATAATGACCAGCAGAAAACTATGCTCATATATTCTCGAAGAAAATTTCACTATAACAATCATGAAGATTACTTAGTCAGATAAAGAAATAAGTAGTTCACAAAGGTAAGATCATAAGAACATACTCTCTTTGAAAGATTTCTTAACTGTGAACAACTTAATCAGAACACATGTATTTATATTTAGGTTTATTTACTATAAAGAAAGTCGGATATTGCATTTTATGCATAAACTTTACACGGTTTATAAAAAAAAATTTCGCATTTTGCAAAACGAAACACTCATCTACATACTTTCATATAACATTGACCGTCTAGAGACTATGAAATGCATGTGAAGAACTCTTACAATCAATATCTTCATATTGTTTTGATTTTTTTTAGCAGAAATTTAAGAATTGACGTTAACAGAATCCCTAGGTTGTACCTACCACACACCATGGTAGTCATATCAAATTCAGTGATAAAATTTCACTTTATAAAGAAGTTTCAATAATCCAATCCAAAACAGTGATGATTATTAGTATGAGGATTTGTGGAGATTGTAGTATTTTAACAGTTGAATTAACGAGTTGATCTAAGCTAAACCACCAACGATGTGCTAACTGGTTTAGTATCAAGTGATATCTAACAAACGAAAATCATATGGATTTCTGATATACTTTCTGGATCATGAGTTTTTGAAATTAAATCATAAATATATATCATTTAAAATGGTCGTTACAGTAACAGCGTTAAACTGACAAATAATATGTAAGGGTATCGGTAACCTGTTTTTACTTTTTAAATAAATGATTAAAAAATGTTTAAAAGATCATATCAAGTGTTCAAAACCAAATTCTCCCTTAACTCTCAGAAACTAAACAGTAAAAACATATTAATTGATATTAAAACATAATACTTACGGTTGTTCTTCAAGTGACAATGTTTCCAAATGAGGAGGTAAACCCTTCGGTAGGTTATTTTGACTAGATAACAATTTATTCTTACTAACTGAATTCATTGAATGATGTAAATTAACATTAGATGAAGGTAAGTGATCAAACACCTGTGTCATAGAACTGGCACAATGAGAAGGGGGAGCAACTGACGTTATTACTACATGTGAGGCCATCGATACTGATGATGACGATGACGACGAAGAGGTGGAGGAAGACGTGCATGATGAGGAGGTTGACGACAGGCTAGGAACTGTAAGCATATTTGTTGCAGAAGAATTACAAGTTTCAGAAGTCAAGAAATCATTATTCACTTCCATTATTGTAGTTGTTGCGTTTCCAGATTTACCAGTGCTTGAAATAATAGTACTAGGATCTATAAAACGTCCACCTGCAAATGATATTTTAAAACATACAAAATAGGATAATTCTGATTTATTATCTCGAAACTTAAATAATCACTCACTTGATGACAATGGATGATGAACGTGTTATAATCATGAATTAACTCAAGTTGGAAATGTAGATCACTCTGTATCGACTCTGTAGTCTGAAGGTAGGTTGCTCTTTGAACAGCTTAATATTCTTAGGTTTGACTACTGGTGATGTCAAGGTTGCACACTGTTAAGTCCTAAACTGGGAAGTAATAGTTGTTCTGCTCTCCCCTACTAATAATAGTTCCCTATATAATGTCGATTTGTGACAAAAGCCATCATATCATAACCCCAGACTATATGAATTCATCTCGTCCAGAAGAATGAAACGATTTTAAAAAATCACATTTAATACACATTATGGATAAGTCTAAAAACCAAAAGAGTTCGTCATATAGAATTTGCTGAAATCATATGAAATGTGAACACTATCTATCGACAACTAGGAATCATTAAAACTCCCTATTTCCTATATTTAGATTAAAATCAAAAGGGAAATTGATTAAGTTATAACTACTCACTATTCATTTATTTGTTATTCTAATATTTCATAAAATTTTATAAAACTAAATGAATTTAACATGAGAATAATCATTATTTGAAATAGATACGGTCAAAATATTGCTGCTTCCATGTTTATTCGTTTCTTACAACAGTTTTTTTTCATCATATGACATAATTATTTGAGTGAAATGAGTTCCGATTCAATTCCGATATAATTACTAACACACAGAAGATGAAACTTTGTATGAACTAGTTAGTTGAAATAGTATTTGATAATTATCTCATCTTAATTAAATGAGAATCAATTTTAGAACTGTTAAGGTCTTAAAAAATACTAAATAATTGCTATGAAATCATTGAACAGAAAATTGACTATCGGTACTTTTTTTTCTAAACAATTTACTCTGGGCATAGTGAAATATTTCAATTAAATTCTTTATGCCAAAAACATGTAACATTAAATTTATGACGTCATAATGAAACAGATCAATACTTAATTATTATATCATTTAAACTAAATTATCAGTGATATTACCAAGGAAAAACAGATTGAATTTCACATGCAAAGATAATTAAATAGAGTTCAGAAAGATTTTCTTTCATGCTAAATAACAAAACTCTAATAAACTTACTCATTAATTTAGAAACTAATCGACCATGTTGAGCATCCCAAGAATCATCACAACTACTTGTAGAAATGCTATCGAGATCATTAGATAAAACTGATTGTACAGGACGAGTAGTCAAATTCAATTTTAAATCATTACCATTAGTATTTTTAATTGAAATGAATTTACTAGACTCTTGTAACTGACCAGAAGAAGATAAACCATGTTGTATAAGCTGGTGATGGTAATTTGGATGGTGTTGATGATGTGAAGAGGGTGGAGGATGATTTAAACTTGACTTTACCGTTTTAATCATTGTTGTTGTAGGTGTTGTTGTTGCATTACTATATTTTGGTATATTTGGTAGTAAAGATGTATCATTTGATGAATTATTGATGGCTAGATCTAAACTGAGCTAAATTTAGAAAAAGCACAATAATCATGAGAATAAATAACTATAGTTACATTGTCTATGTACAATAAGTAGATTATTTTTAAAAGAAAAACAAAGGGGAACAATATTGATCAAATTAATGTCAGTCAGTCAGCAACAGAAATTCTTACGTACGTACATCAGTTCAAATATAGTTTCAAAAATGTTTGCATTATCCTTAGACGAAACGAGTAACCAGTAAGGTTCATAAGTTTTACTGAATGACATGTGAAGTTCAAGCCATACTGTAAATACAGTAAAATGTACATATATACACACATATGTCAACATCTGTAGTGCCCATTCGCAATAGAATTTATGCAGTATGACAAAGCATTCCTATCACTAAAATGTATGCTGTAAAAAATGCTAGATCAAAGTTTACAGTATGTGAATCTACTGAACAACATTCATTTATTCTTAAGAAGAGCAAACAAAAGATATATTATGGAAGGAAATTACACATAATCAAGGCATCTTTCTACTATAATTCAATTATGCTTTGCTGCTAATTGTTTAGATTTTAAGACGACGAAACATTGTTAGTCTATAATTAGACAATAATTTAAAAGTGTTCTTAACTCCGCTGAAAACTGAACCCAGGAGCTTTCGTTTCTCACCGTGGGCGCATAACCTTCAGACGGATGAATAGATTACACAATCGTTTGCACATCTACCTTCAATGGATGGTTGTTTGAGTTCAGTCTGTAATCTAAACTATGAAAATTAATGATCTCTACAAAACCCCACTATACTGAGAAGTATATTTCAGAAGAACCTGTTTAAAATCGCAAAACAATGAAGAGTTGTTTCATCCTAGTTTGGTACTACTACTTATGGAAACGCCAATCACAACCACACACATGTGATAGAACGAAGTACTTTAAAATTTCGCAACAACTTTGATATTTCTAGGTAAATGAATTGGAAGAATACAATGATTTAAAATTTAAACAACTTCCATAAATTTGTATTGCAAACTTCGCTCCTGATTTAATGTTGTTTATTAGTTACAGTTATACCAATGCGCATTGTTCATTCCGTAGATATAGTTTCTCAATAGGATTTTCATTAAAAAATCTTATCTCAGAGTTAATCTTCAGTAAGTACAAGGTGAGATTACTTGACAGGATGATTTTGTGAAAACGTAGTGTTACAGTTGTAACAACCAGTGAAAATTAGACTTCAGTGAGTTAAATTGGTGTTCGTTCATGATGAAAAATACTTACAAAATATGTACAAACAAACAATACCAAAAAAAGCAACACCATAATATCACTTCACTTAATTTTTATGAATATATAATATTGACTTCTACGAATTTACACAAATTCTCAAAAACAACACGAAAAGGTCAAATTTGTAAAACACAACAAAACCTAAACCAATTCGTTTTAGTTGTTATTGCCATTTTGGGTAAAAATTAGTGTAGAGGAATTAAGAAGAAGTAAAATTCACCAGGAAAAAATCCTTTAATATACAAGTCGCATCAATTATATCACAATGTTTAAGGTCAAGAAAACAGCAGCTAACCAATGACTAAGCAGTAACTTATAATAGAATGGCTACACAATATATTACATGCTGACACTGACGACAAGAAATAGACATATTATAATCAAATGAAAATAACAGCTGATTATTTCCTAAATACACACATATCTATACATGATGATATACATAAACACATGTACAATAGACGAACAAACAGGAAAGCGCACTCCTATAACTAAGGATTTACTAGTTCCAATGACCAAAAATGAGAGAAAACATGTTAATATTTCAAGTCACAGAAGAGAAAAACACAACGGATAATTAAGAAGTAAACATTAAATCTAAAATTACAAAAATATTCTTAAAAATCTAACTTTTAAACTGAACACAAAGATATAAGAATATCACAATAAGTCGGAAAATGAGCTTAAGCAAATGATTCACATTCGGATTAGCATAGATTAAGTTATTTTTAAATCAGCTAATTGAAGAATCTGTGAATAATATTGTAGTGAATGAAAACTCAGATCCAGGACAACCAATTCACTTTTTATTACAAAATTACAGAGTTCTTTCATAAAATGTGAAAAGCATACATCAAACACTTCATTTGCAAATCATTCATCAAATGTCTCAAACTTCATCGGTCCTTCATTGCTATTACAATTACTCTCTGTTCACATTCCCGTCCTGTTCGATTCCGTCTTTCCAACCTTTGCTGTCAGGCATTCAAATTCTGGTTGTTATATACTACTTGTGTCGGCAGATATAAGTAGCATACACCACAATATTAAAATAATATTTGGGAAAATAAACGGAAATACTTTTTCACGTAGCATCACTGCTATCCTCCTACTCTTATTTACACTAACATTAAATTTTGTTTGAAATTACATATGATCTATCCCAAGTTATTTACAAGTCAACAATTAACTGATTATTAATAATTTTCGATGAAAAACCAGTTGATAATAAGTACAGAGTAAGTCCTTTGAATGGAAAGAATATATATAGGGATGAGGTTAAAACAATTTAAACGAACTTCAGCCACTTGTTAGCCAATCAAAAAATAACCTTGATATATGAGTAGTTCATGGTAAGTAAAGAATAATATTAAAAAAGTTTAACATATTTTACATAAATCTATTGAAGTTTACGACAGTGTATTCTATATGGATATAGACTATCTATCTTTCCGAAACTCTATAAGGACGTCTATAGATTTCTAAAAGTCCTCACATTGTTTTTGGTTTGGGACAAACGGGTGAGAAATAGGAGTTTAAAGTTAAAGTCATCAGGTTAGGGTGTATGTGAACAATGTTGATTTGTATGATGTATACAGTCTAAATAGGAAGACTTGAGCATTTGATACTTTAAACACTATTTTTACTCTATGGTAACAATAAGTAATATTGCTTTATCAATTTGAGCGTTTTGAGCACGATGCAAAAGTAATTTTACTTTTTGTTTTAAGTGATACAAGATAAAAGTCAGTTCTTTCTAAATTTAGTGTGAAAATCCAAAAGTGGTCTGTTCGATTCTGATTGGCTCGTTGGTATAGTGTACTTTTACCAAACATATGAAGTGTTATCGGTATATGGTTTCCTGAGGATTATGGAATTTTCAGTTTAAGTCACGAAGTGACCTAAGCTAGATAACCATTCAAAACTAGGAAGTACTGGACATCTGTTTCGTTTTAATATGGGACACTTCAGGAGTGCGAATCTGTGACCCGCCACGAAATATCGGACCCAGGATCTTCGGTTTCCTACGCTCACTTAGTAAACCAATACGGAAGTATTACATTGATATTATTCAGATAACTATATTCTCTAGTTTTGGTCTACTTGTGGAATCCTATGATTCATGTGAAATAAAACTGAGTCATAAAGTATGTGTCTAAATATGTACCTAATTAAACGTTTGAATGTATATGTATGCATGTGAGCAAGTGAGTAAGAAAATAAGTATATGTGTGTAAATTGAACCACTAAGTAAATCTAGTTGATAAGAGCCCATCACTGAACTAAACAAATATGTTAAAAAAAAATAAGTTACACTTTACTGTAACAGATTATAAATTATAATAAAACAACATATACTCCAATCCTGTCCAACCCTTAATCTATATATCTAAGCAACTAAAACAAATGTTTGCACTGGATATTTACCTGGTAAGTTATTTTATATCTCCCAACTAGTCAATTCTAAAAAATGTTCTATCTATCTGTTATAAAATGAAATCAGGGTCATTAAATATGCAACATAAATGAAAGACAAGCTATTCGATCCAATTTAACTACGACAACAATAGTTCAATTCATTTTGTATTGTTTTTTGAGTCTTCCCATTGATGTTAAGGACTGCAGTTGATCAGTCTCTTATTGGCATATGTGCATCCTGTGCTGATTGCCTTAAGTCACAAGCGTTATGAGGAGATGGATGGTGGTTAGTAGTGGAATCCAGAACTTCTACATGTTGAACAGTTCTACGGTTAGACACAAGGTTTAGTTTATTAAAATAAACCGTCCGATAAATCTAGAAATTTATGTTGGTTACAGGGTTCATGGCATTTCGAAATAGTAAGTTGTAGAAAATGACTTTTTCTGGCGGAAGATTTTATGAGGTGTTATGAAGGACATTAGTAGAACTAATGTATCAGAAAAGATTGTCGAACTCTACATTTTAAGTAAAAACCATTAAATAGAAAATGATATGTGTATGTTCGAATTCTTTTCTCATATAAGATTACTAGTTACGGGTGTTTACTTAGATGTTCGAGCATTTGACTTCCAGGCAATAAATTGCAGATTCCAACTTCCCACCTATCTCAGGCTTGAAATGCTGGCGGTATAACTGGTCCTCAAGCGGAAAATGTGTCTTATCTGTGACAGCTTATGTTTAGATTCCGTGTTTTGGATTTAAACAGTATTAGTTATTAGCAACAAGTTCCCAGTAGCACCTAACAGGCATATCCAGCTGAAGAGTCCCAAATAGGACGAAATGCATGTCCTGAATTCCACTACTAACCACCATCCATCTCTTCTCATAACGCTTGTGACTTAAGACAATATCTAGGCAATACGCACAGAACGCACATATGTCAATAAGAGACTGATCAATTGCAGTCATAAACATCAATGGGAAGACTCAAAAAACAATACAAAATGAATTTAAACTTCACCCCATTGTATAAGCTATTGGCCATCAAGATTCAGTAACTAAGTGGATAACATGATGGCGTTTGAAGCGAACAGCATTTGGCCTGAGTCCTGGAGTGAACTTCAATTCTGAGATACAGGTATGTCCAGCTGACAAGTTCCAAAATATGACGAAACGCGCTTCCTGGATTCCATTGCTAGCTACCATCCCTCTTTGCTTACAATGGCTCAATGTTTTCTGAGATAACTTAAAAATGACTTGAATGTCAGAACAGAAAAGTGTTCCATAGAAAAAGGAAAAGCAGAAAACTATCTATCCACCTTTTTGGCTTCAAACTTACAGACAAATAGATTTGAGTGAGTCTATTCTTAAAAAAAAAAACAATCAAGCATAATATTCAGTAGTTGAAGTGAAAATGAAATTTGGTTAGTAAAGCGATTTTATTGGCTCAGTTAATAGATTATAAAACAAGACTTTTATAGGCCTTTTTTAAGTTAGAATATTAACAATCTCCAAATTTTCAACTCTAACCATTATCCTTGTATATAATAAGTAATTTGTTTGTTTAGTGTTAACTGATACGCTGGATACTGGATTCTCACTCATTAACCCGTTTGACAAATCGTACTGGCATTGAAAATGTTTATTTAAACTAAGACTTAGGCAAACCAGCGTAAATACATTCTTCCGATAACAATAAGAGAATAGAATAGAGAAACAAACAAATTAATGCAAAGTACATATTTGATAAACAAAGAATCCACGGTTAAGAATGAATATATATATATATATATATATATATATATATATATATATACAACACAACCGATGCCAATCATTTCATTTTACATCTCAAGTGGAATTCTCTTTTAACTATCTTTACATAAAAATAAGTACAAATGCATATTTTGAAATACAATAATTATTTTATTAGAAATGAAAGTATTTTTGAAAACACCTTTACAGTCATCTATAATTGTTAAATTACAGGGCTAAAACAAAACTTGGTAATTGGAAATATGAATGACAGAATGTTAACTTGTTGATTTAAGGGTGATACATTGTAATGAGGCCTGAAGGTTTCGGGTTCGATCGCTGGTAAGTACATGTGTGCGCAATGCAACTATATTCCATATTAGAACAAATTATTTGTCCAGTACATCCTGGTTTTCAACATTTATAGAAACGAAGTTGATCCACGACATAAAATGTTTTTAGATCTGTATATTTATTGCAAAACTATTGAGTTATCGGAAGAAAACTGATTGAATAGTTCTTGGAGCTAAGTAAATTAGTATGAAGGGATTTACGAAAAGTTAATGATATTACACAACTACATAAAACGAAGTAATTGTTTTCGCACTCTTCTCTGTACTGCAAAATGGGAAGTTTAAATACGGTTCTTAAACGAGGTTTTAATAAATCCCATAGATGATATTAAATGGATAATCTAGTGTTCACAATCATGGATTTACTACACACATTGTTAAATGAAAGATACGATTCATTTTAGAGTTTTACAATAACAAGTAAACAGTGCGTAAGGTTTCACTTATAACATCATTGTGATCGAATGCGAGTCAATACTTACCTCATGATTTTCGTTTTACAACATTTATTTTCAAGAATAAAACAAAAATATATGGAATTTTGTAGCCTATTTGTTCATTTGTTGTGAAATCAATGGGCGATAACCATTAGAGGGATTCGAAATTTATTACATACGTGATGCTTATATATATATATATATATATATATATATATATATATATATATATATATATATATATATATATATATATAGTGCAATCCTCGTTTCATTCTTTTTTTCTTCTAAAGTATACGCGTACTTTGTTTTATAATGCACTCATACTCGTACTCTCAGTCAGTTATGGAAAATAGCTTACGCTATCCACTATTACGATAATTTATTAAATTAACATCTTTCAAAACCTATAATAAATTGTCTCTACACTGACAACTAGATATGATTCTATTCATAATAATACGAAAAATAGTAATAGTAGTAATAATATTAATGATAATGATAACGAGAGAGTACACTAAAATGAAAAAATCTGTTGTTATGATATACTCCAGAGTTCAAATCGAATACAAACTATTCATTTTCAATAGTTTTCTTCAGAAGTTTAAGTCATTTAGTTGTGAACAACATGAAGTTTGGTAATAAGTACGCATTAGTTCAAGTTGATACATTTCACAACAGTACAGGAAGAGGAAATAAAAATGTGTAGGAAATTTGAAAATAACATGAGCAGTAGTGAAAATAAAACATAAGAAACATATTTTCGTAAGGAATGTTGATGAAGTAATGAGTTAAAATTCGAAGATAATATTAAAACTCAAGATTTAGGGGAATATTAAAATTAAATTTCACCAATGTTGCGCCGTATCGCTTAAGGTCCCCAAACAAAAATTACGATTATCCTGACTTCAACCAACAAACCAGTACCTCTTAACATACATTAAACTAATATTTCATGACTTCATATACTGTTACCGTATTTTGATCTCCTAGCACTCAAAAGTTTTCCAATCTATTCTTCTGTTGTTCAACAACGCACGTTGTGTTTAGGAAGCACATACGTGAACCACTTAGGATTGGTTAATATATCATTTATCTATTTAGAGTCAAATCAAGAATCAAGTACCGATTCGCTATTTTATCTTAAGTTATACTGTTGGTAATTCCGTTGCAGACGGAAGTGTAGAATAATGGTTTTAAACATTATAAACCAGAAAACTAAATCTAGATTAAATCGATGTCATATAAGACGAAATAAACGTTCTACAGAATGCATATATAGAACGAGGTGAAACCAAAAAAAACTTACTTTGACACCCATACTCCATGAACCATTATAAGCGTAATCATATTCACCGTTGTTTTCTGTTTTCCCACTTAACTAAATAATAAACCAATAGAAAGAGATAAAATAAGATTAGTACAAACTGCCAGTAACAACAGTTTAAGATTACCCATTTAAATTACAGAAAAGAGAATTTTAAAGAAGAATCCTAGGATAGTTTAGTGAAAACAAAATGAAAGAACTTCAAAAACTAATTATAGGCTGTAATGAATTCCATTGATTGGAGTTAAAACAAGTGATAACTTCCTTTTACTACTGAACTATATATAAACAAATAAACACGTATACTTGATTTTTGTTATCCTTCAAAACCGGAGAAAGAATATAAAATATAATTCATAATCCACTGAAGTTTATAAACAACAATTTCATTTTACAACAGTGTAGCAAATACTGACCCCACTGTATGAACAGCTTAACAATAATAAATTCAATGATTGAGACATTGCGTGAAACTTAACGCTACATTTCTCCAATAAGTCAAGAATTGTAACCAAAGTCAGATCTATGCCCCGTTGATTACAAGCAACAACAACAACAACAACAAAAACACTAAATGGAATCCGTCGTTGAAATGTCGAAGTATCCCCACTGAATTGAACGATATAACAAAATCATTAAAATTATTATATATTTACGTCAAAATTCTTAGTATTATCTATTTGGAGAATTACAAATAGCAAAAAATTATAATTGTATTGACCCATTTATTAAATAGATAAAATTTATGAAAGAAATCTCGTAGATCACTTTTGGCATGGATACTATATATTTGTAGGACACGAATAAAACAGATATCCAAGGCATATTAATGGGTTTGCATTATTTTTGCTTAGAATCCTTTTTTCAATAAAAACTTTTCAACTACTCATTATCAGTGTTATTTCTGGTAGATTTCAGTTGACCAATAAACAGCATTGATTTACAATATTATATTGTACAATTTTTAAAACATTGAACTGACCACCACCACCACCATCTGGATGGTGTAAATGATTGATAATGATGTTTTAACCATGAACAGAAGTAGCGTTTACAGCATTCAGGAGTGGAGGAAATACACGGAAATTACAACGAATGATTTCTCAGTTTGATAATGACTGAAAGACGAATTACTTGTACCAGTCTTTTTTTAGACTTACTGATTCAATTTACCATGTGTAACAATTTGCATTAACCGATATTAGAAAAATTTACTTTTCCATATACATGAACATTTAACAGGATGGCTAAGCAAAAGTGTAGCTTTGCAATGTAAAAAATGTGAACTAATAATAGGCCAAAGATTAGTCACTTATTATCAATAATCTGCCGTGCTGAATAATTTATTGAAGGCAGTTATACTCCTGATTACACAAATGGCAGAATCCAATGTCATACGAATAAAATAAGTTGGAAGGTGGATTTAAAAAATAGATTTTACTCCTGTCTTTACACAAGTTATCTTATCAAACCCAACCAATTGATGATCAAATACGCTGTAAATAAAAACTACTTCCCCTTACCGACTTTGAATTATCACTATTTAATTTTATCCATCCAGTTTGATGCATACCACAAAATATATTGCGAAGATTGACTTCACATTCATCCTATTCTTAACGCTTGTTTAGTACACGTCATTTTATCCACATTACGTAATCTCTGATTGGACATTTGATTTATTCACTAATTATACAATTGTTTTATTAATCTCCATTTATTCATCTGACAATCTTCCCACATTAATAATCTGTCTAAAGTAATATTGATCTACAAACTGTTTTTTAACTTATGGTCTTCAATTTATGTTTTGTATTTAAATATTTATTCCAAAAATTTGTATTCGTCTCAAGCCTAATTGTTTTAATTTTTCGATTAATCTACAGTTTAAAAAACTGATGAGAATCTATTGAAAAGAACTTTTTCATTCATTCAAATATCTTTCCGTACAACAAAATGACATCAAAATTGATTCTTACATCTACGTCCCATAAAAAAAAGTGCATCTAAATGATATAATACATCATAAACACTAAGAATGAATAACATCAAATCCTAAAAACAGTTATCAACCGTTAGACATAAATGTTAGGGATTTTGAGGTAGACAAAAGAAAAAAATTGATATAATAGTTACTAAAGTTACAAATGCTCAAGTAGGACAATCGACTATATCTTGTCTTGTGATATTACATGTTTGCAAGTGATCAATAGTTAACCGATCATATTATCTCAGACACTAATAATAGTTGATAAAAATAAGGGGAAAATATTACTAGTTAACCAGCACAAATTACAAATGCACATAAATACATGCATCCATACACCATGAACACTAATGATGAAGATAAATAAAAAAAAAACCAGTTCACGTAGAATTATGCAAAAAAAAAAATCTGAACGAATATAAAAACTACAAAATGAACTACATAAACATTTAAGGATAGATTGGAATTTTACAAAAACAACAGTTATATTAACTGAAATCATTAGGCTTGTGTTGAACTATAGTGAAAAAGCATAACCGGACAAAACAATAGGTATTCATTGATTAGATTAATTTAAAACAAGTAATTATTTTGTTAATAAATGCTCACAAAAAGGAGAAAAGAGAGAATCAAATTCATGCTGAGTGTAAATTCCGATGTGAATATTAAGCACAGATACACAAGTGAATTCATCTGTCGAGTATCAAAACGGGACGAAACATATTCTCAGTAATTCAATGCTAATCAATAAAAAAATTATAGTCAGAATAGTCAATTCAGGTTATATAGAGCCTTCTGCTTAAAGAATCATGTACTGAAAAACTGACAGAACAGTTCGGCTTTTAATGCTGCATCAACAGTGAGAAAATATGCATCCTTCGCAACTAATTAATCACTGCATGTTTAATTTTAACCTGTCATTATTAGGTTATTCTTAATCTTGTGAGTGTAAGCTTGTTTTTACTTTTGTTTTAGTCAAACGATCAATTAGTAAGAAGTAGTTTACTTCTTTTGATGGTACTCCTATAATAAACTTTAACAGAATGATAAGCATAAACAAGAAGTCAAGATCAGTGAGTTCAGGCAATGTTGAGTTGAACAATATCGTAAATTGGTCGAAGTTAAATCTGTAAACCGTTGGGTAGATGCTCAATTATTTAAATCCTATAAGGTTATCTCGATACCTCAAGGTCCTGGGTTCGATCCCCGTTGTAGTTGTGAGTGCTTACTATCAACAAATCCCACACTAAAACGAAGCAGTTATCCAGTCCTATCTGCTTTCTAATGATTGTTCGACTAATAACAATCTATGCTATAAACTATGAAAATTCAACAATCTTTACAAACCCCAATAATAAATATAAAATGGTAAAGCAATTCTTGATTAGAACCGATGATTTTTCTAATAAAAATCTCATTAATTCATTTTATACATTAAAATAATTGGTAATCTTTATCTTCCTAATAAAATTAAAGTATTACAGTTTGTCCGTTGTATTTTATTAAATAAATTGTAAAAAATATACTAACGGAACAATACATATGATAAAATGATTATTTAATATCTGCCATTAACCTAACTAATATTTAATGTTGAAATTTTCTCTTAAGAAAAAATAAAAAAATAAAAAGGAAACAATCTAAAATGAAACAAATAAAATGTAGCAATCATAATTATGTATGAATTAATTACTCTCAAGTGACCATTACAGATTATGAAATGTTACAAGAGAAAAGCAAATCGACGATTGTATAACATAGTAGCATTAAAAAATGTAATATTATAAAATAGAAAAGAGAATAAAACCATATGGTAGAAACAAAATAAAAGGCATGAATTGAATTGATGAAGAGAATTCGAGAATGAATCGGATACTTTTGGTGGTGCTCCCATAGGGCATCAGATTGTTGGTCTGTGTATATGACGCTCTATTTATATAGGATAGAAGCTACTAGACAGATCTAAGTTAAATAATTTTGTATTTAAAAAAAGGCTTGAGTTAATTATCGGTGGAATGTACTGGCGAGTCGAGGACATTATGGTTGAAAAACTTCCTAGCTTAATTAGAAGTATAAACGGTGTGTAAACTATTGTATTACATCTCAGACAGTTTACAAATCTACGTATGCATGTGAAAAAAACATGTAGGGCAAACAAAAAAGGGTGGATCACGATGTATCTAAGTGGCTGGGAAAAAAACAAATAAGGTTCAATAATCCAAAAAGAGCAGATGATAAACACTCATTTTCTTCCACTGCTAAAACCAAATTTGAGAAACAAGTCATAAGCTGAATCTCAATTTAGCCTTTGTGATCTTTGTATGAACGTTGCTAAGGATGAAGAACTTCTATTTTTCAAAGCTTAACTTATACGAAAGATCAAACTTCATCATGCATCTTCGAAAGGCATCTATATTTACAGTAAACCTACTCTGATAATACTGATTACATCCTGATATCCAAATTGTTTGAAATGTATTGCTCTAATATATCGCATGATTTTGATAAATATAGTTTTCTCATTCCATTTCCCTAGGTTTATCAAACGGACTAACATTTTTAAAGTATCATACTCATTCTTACATTCATTAGTGATATTGAAGATTATAGTCACATTAGTAATAACCTCCTAAATTTTATCAATGAATAAGTAATATGGTTTTCTCAACTCACTACATATAAGCGTATATATTATATATATAATATTTATACATATTCTACTTAACAGCCTCCTGTCAAGAGATATTTTCAAAAATGACAGAAGAAACAAATACTTACTAGTACTACATAAATACTATTAATTCCTGTGAAATGGTAACTTCGTACGATTAAAACACATCGCTTTCAACTGGTAAGTGGCAGGTTCGAATCCCACCCACCTAATTTTAGTTCGATCGACCGGATAGTATCGGTAGCCGTTGCATAACTACAGTGAAGGTCAAAACTGAACACATAAAATCTGTACTTAATACATGAGTGAAACATATCTATAATATATCGTAACATTTCAATGACACATACACATACAATAACCTAAAATCGCAAGTAAAATATAATATTTATGATACATACCACCATATGATTAGAATTATTATTAATTAGTCCATCATGACGAAATGAACCATTAGTTGATTTTCGATCCAATTTATCCAAATGTACTAGTCTTGTATCCACCACATGATCTGCACGATTTGATGCATCCACATGATTAGTAGTGGTCATTACTGATATTAATTCAGAATTACTAGTTGAATTTATGAGTTTATCATTTGAACAAGAAGAAGATGAAGAAGACGAAGAGGATGTCGATGTTGAAATATTCAACAATTTCAAATGAGATTCAATAGAGTGAGAATCATCAGTTGAACATTGTCTACTATTATTAATATTATTATCCAGTGACAAAGGTTGCAACGGTGAAAAATTTGAATTATTATTTCTAATTTTATTTCTATTGTAAACAGAAACAGGAGATATTGGGATATTTAAATCATGATTATTTGTAGAGGTATTGGAAGGCATAGAAAAAGGAAGTTGTGGAATGTAATTTTGAACATTTGATGATAGCGGAATAATTGATGGTAGACGTGATACACCGACACCAAGTTGACGAGCTAATTTTAAATCCCAAGCTTCTTCATAAGTTGGATAAGAATTGGGTACATTAGAACGTCTACGACCGAATCCATGTGAATTATTTACTTTGTTATTCATTGAATTTTGTAAATCTGCAGAATTTGTCTTAGACAAGTTTATCAATTGATTCGGCTCACTGGGAATAGAATCTGTAAAGAGAAATAAATAAAAAGTTTGACAGAGAACGGTGATGAGTTTTTATCATAAATGGAAGTTGATCAAACTTTTGTCAAGAACAAGAAAAATTAACACACTGACTAGGCGAAAAGATATTATCAAAAACTCGTTTTGATCATGTCTTATAAAATCAAACTCCTATTGTTATTACAAAAAAGTCTCTGTCATGATCGTACACCCATGAGACTGTAAAAAGGAAAAAACATCATAAACTGAGAACTAAATTACTGAAAGTTGTAAAAAAAGGAAACAGACATTTACTCAAAAATGGGCTTAGGCCAAATTAATAAACACTTTCGTCATGTAAACAACTGGTTAACATTAAAAATAATGAATAGTTTAACGAACAGAAATTTTGTTGAATATCTAAAACGTTTTACATATATTGAAGGATAATGTCTTTTGTTCATCGACCAAGTGTTATGGAATTTCTAAGCATTTTTATGATATTATTTTACACATTTCTTCAAATAAGCAAAATGTTTTGTTATTCATTGAACTAAATTTCATACAACTGTAATAAAGTATATGGTTAGACGTTTAATCTCACTTTCATATTTTACGAGAATATCAGAAACAATAAGACATATCTTGTGATCGATTTGAATCATGATCATCAACATTACTGTCTAGTTTAGTAATAGTGATTAAATACAATTTTATCAGTGATTTCCCTAGTTTAAATATACTGATAGTAATCAATCAATGAGTTGGCCAAAACAATGAAATATTATCGCAACTGCAAATGAACAAAAGTAAATTATATGGATGACCGGCGAGACTACAATTTATGGACGAACCAATCACGCATAAGATATAAGGTCTCGGATTTTGGCGCGAAACTTACTCATCTATTTGGGTAAATAGTTTTGGCATTTTATAGACGATGTCAGTTCGTGATGAAAACACTAAATCTAATTTGTAAGCTTAATCATCAACTGTAAATTGTAATTCTAATTCCTCACACATGTTCATAACCCTCATTTCGTCCTGGTTATTAAGTGGACACTCTCAAATCCCGTCTAGCATCGCTGAAAGGTCGTCGTTCATAAATTATAGTCTCACCGGATGACCTGTTATTCAGTTAAGGGTACGTAGTGAATAAAACAATAAATCCTTGATTAAACAATAACAATAATTAATGAGTTTATAGGTATCAATGCCAAGGTTGAAATTGATAGTTTCAAATAAAATGAGCATTGGGTGGAAAGTTAATAGTAAATTTTGTTATATAATAATATTTTGTTATATTCCAACGAATAGAAAAATTGCATTTCTGACGTTTCATGGCTTGATGTAAACCACTTCTTCGGAGTAATTAAATAAGTGAATTCGGCTATTTTTCTCCATATATTATTCAATTACAAAATTTGTTGTTTTTTTTACTGACTAAGAATTATCAATATAGGATTGTGGAGAGTTCTGAGTTTTAAGTGGGATCATAAACCGAAGAGCCTCATAGTAGGACGAAACGGACGTCCAGTGCTTCCGAGTCTTTAAATGGTAGTCTAACACTGATCGGTTCATGATCTCAATGACTAAGAATTGGCTGAAAAATTGTCACGATTATTTTAAGCTTGTCGCGATAGTATATATCAATTTTCTTATACACTGTATGTCCATTAGTATACATACACATATTTCCCTTCAACTCAATTGTTTACGTAGAATTTAATTGAATGAATTTATACATTGTATCTCGTAGATAATATTGTAGTTAACAAAGAACTCAGGTAGGAGGAAACGAATTAATTGTCTAAAGAAAAATTACAATGTCTTCGTAAAATATGATATTAAATCCATTATTTTGACATCTTCCATCAATTGTCTCCTCATTGTTACTTCATTTCAGTTGTTATTACAACTACTCTCTGTCTATATTCCTGTTCTCTCCAATTATATATTGTCAATCTTTTGTTGGCATGCATTCCACTTCCGATTGGTGCTACCTACTACTCATATCTGTCAACATAAGTAACATACACCACAATCGTCCTATCTTGAGGTGAAAGTCACTTGTGGGGTCGTTCTGCTCACCGTGTAGCTTGCTTCCTTGTCTCAGTCAGTGCTTCGCCTCCCAATGAAATGCCGAGCCGCCAGCGCGCTAACCTCCGTAGCAATGTCAACCTCTCGGGTCATCTAAGTCCAATATCCGCCCAGCACCCGGGATGTCCAACTCCTACTCTCCAAAAACCTGTCGAGTCATCTACACCCGATGTCAGCTCAGAAATCAGACTCACAACATCTCCCCATCAACAGCGACTGCTTCAGCCAACGCCGCCCCACCAGAGCACTCCACTCGACGTCTTATTGTCGCACCAACTAGCGATTCCTTTCCCAGACCCACAACTGCACTTTCCTCTCCTCCCCTTTGACAGAAGAATTACAGAATGCTTTTGCAAAATATGAAAACCGCACTTCAACTTTCGATTTGTGTTACATACTGCTTATATCTGTCAACATAAGTGGCATACATCACAATATGAGCATGTTACAAATACACTCATGATAAATAGTAATTACTTATATCTGTACTATTATAATCATTTTTAAAATGACATTAGAAACTAACACTTTTTCTCAGTTTACTCTAAACAATCCCGATGTATTCAGTCTTCTATATTCCACTCATCATATTAAACAACGAATCTATTTAGGAGGAAACAAACTACAACAGAAACATTTGTATCCAGTGGCAAAAGAAAAAAAAACGAAACAATGTTCATATTAAGACATATTCTCATTGATAAATGAATAAAATAGTTATCACTTATTATCAAAATGAACAGATCCAAATACTAACCCCTTCTCACTGTCCTTCTATACACATATGATTTGACAGTTAATCGATCTCTTCAACTGAAATCATGAATATTATTTACATTAGAATTAATCCTCACCTCTGTAAACAGAAATGTAATATAAACGTGGAACAACAGTCATACGGTAGCAATGTACCACTCTGATCCATTACATCAACAGTAAACATTATGGATAATGTATATCAAAATAGGTCAAATTGAAAATGGCATAACATTTCATCTATATAAATTGGTTGTTTGGATCCTCCCACTGATGTTTAGGACTGCGAAGGATCAAGATGATTTTACTGCAAGTCACCTTCCATCCCTGCGTAAAATGTTTGTAACTTGATGGCAGTATTAATGCAATCCGCACATAGTATACATATGCCAAAAGAAACTGATCGATTGCAGTCCTAAACATCAGTAGGAAAACCCAAAAAACCAATATAAGTGAATTACAATTCACCCCATTGCATACACAAATGACTACTGGACTCAATAAGCTAAGTGGATAATGCGATGACATTTGAAGCGAGCAGTAATAGGTGCGAGTCCCGGGATGAACATCAAATCGGACGCAGACACATCCAGCTGATGAGTCCGAAGAAAGACGAAAAGCGCGGCCTGGATCCCACTCCTAGCTACCATACATCGCTACTTAAAAGGCATGACCTCTAGTCATGAAATATCAAAATTTAAAAAATTCAGTGGAAGAAATGATATTTAACATATCATATAAGGCTTAGAGTAGAATGAACAGTAACCATCACTTCCTTAACCGCTTGTCTGACCGATTTCCTATGACTGCTATCCAAGTATTGTGTGTATAAAGACTAAACAAACATAAAACTATACAACTCAGTATAATATTTTTATTTCTTAAAATAAATAAAACATACTTGGCTGTTGATCACCGTTTACATGACTAGACTGATTTTGTAGAGAACAATCAGAAGAATCTGACTGAAGGTCAGTTGAAACACAAGATGAACCATCTGTTGTAGAAATACTAGTTACAGGAATATTTTGATTAGTAGAAAAATTATCAATGCATGTAGTTGTATGGGTGGTAACGGTGGCAGTTATGCAGACATTAGACATGGATACCGATGATTTTGACTGGATAGGGGTTTTAACATGAACTTCACTTTTTCCAACTACACCACGAGGAACACGTGCAAAAGGGCTGGCTGGATGATGTGTAATAACAGTATTACCACGTGGAGAACTGGCAAAACAAACTGTATAAATTTAAAAACAAATAATAGTGAACATTTATTCCTTTCCGTTTATTATATTAATATTCACACAGCTTAATATTGTTATGATCTGATGTATACAAATATTTCATAAAAATGTACTTAGATAAAAATAAATGTGGATTTTGTTAAAATAAAGTAATTGCGCAAACTGTATCGGTATTTTATTTTTCAAATGATCAATGTTACAAAAACATATTAGACAACATAACGTTATGAGGTTGAAGTTAATGATAAAAGGATAGGTCAACAAATCACAAAGAATAAAATTAGGGATATTTTATTCAAGTATGATCATTAATATAGTGCAGACTGGACTATCTTATTTATTATTATTTATTTGAACACACAAATATTGGTACAAGGAGGCACCAAATACATATGCACTACACAGATCTCATTTGATTTGTGTGAGGGCTGTGATACTGCCCGGGTGCCCAAACCGAAGCAGGTGGTTATTTAGGGGACCCCACACCCGGAGCCTTCGACCTGAAGGTCTGATCCATAAGGCAGTGGAGCATCGTAAGGAGATGTAGTCCCATGGTAGCCAGCCAGTGACCAACGATTGGTTCATACACCATTTGTTCCTTCAGGATCCTGAATCCCATGTTCACCATTGTTTTGGAATCAGGGTTTTCCAACTTCCCTAGGTGGACTCTCCATATCCGCCAACCCAGTTGAAGTGCCGGACATTCACTTTTCACCCTCCCAATTTCGTAAACAACACCTCCGCCACGAGAAGGCAGTGAGTAGGACTTCCCTGGCAGTGGTTATGTACACTCGAGAGGGAGAACGAACTCTCTGAAACACTTTATGAATAATTGAGTAATTTGGAAGTAATATTTTGATGAATACATATTCTTCCTTGTACTATTTATTAAAAATCAGTAATGAACTTTCATTCAAGTTTCAAACATTGGTGTCTCTACTGAAGTTTGATAGATGCCTGTCATTTTAGAATATGCCTTTCAATGTAAGATCTCACTTTAGTTTTGTAATTTTAATCCAATAAAGAAACTGAAGTATAATGTGTACAACAAGATTAAATAGTTGCAGACTAAGTGAAATAAATAAAAACCCTACCAAATAAGTAAGATACGTAGACAACTACTTAATTCATTCTCTAGTAGATTACTTAAATCTATATAAGCTGATTAGTATTTGACTAATAAAAACGTCAGAATGTGTTTGTAAGTATCATTACGAAGTTTCGACCTGATGATTTTAAATCAATTAAGGTATTGGGTGAGTTCTTTATAGTGTTAATAATCTTAGTAATATAATTGTATCATTACAATAAGTCAAAAAGTTTAGTTCTCTAAAAAAGCAACTTACATTAGGCTGTGAAACGTCAGAAATTCAACTTTCTACACTATTACTCTGTTATTAATATGAAAGTTTTGCATTTTTTGCGCATACATAACAGAGTAGCTGGTTAATTTTGAAAGTAAATATTCAAAAAGAATATAATAATAACTAGAGTGAGAACGAAAGACACTGAAAGATTTAAAGTGTAATTTAAGCCGTTTTATTAAATTTGATACTTTTTTACATGATAATGCATACTAATAAGGAATGAATTAGAATTTACTGTAGAAAAAGTTCTATAATGCCTGTAAACAGTCTAGAATAATATCTAATTCAGATATTTCCTATTAATCAGTAATCAAATTAACTATGAATTAGATATTGGTTCCTATTACCTTGTCATGGAAGTTTGATCTAAATTCTGGGTCACCAGTTTTCCAAACGTGGATTTTATGACCATACATTTACCTGTTTGAAATTTATTTTAATTAACTTATTATGTCTATCAACAACGTGTAATTAGGTGCTTCTACAGAATATTAACAACTCATCCCGAATTTAATTACTAAGAAACTTAAAAAGTACCATGACAATGGTTGTTTTTCGTTTCGAGAGACAAGAGGCGATACTTATTGGATTGATACAGTATATACATTCGGTGACGAGAAAAAGATGTCTTGCAAGCAACACTAATCATGAACAATAACAGTGCTTTCTGGCTTTCACTGGTGGTCAGGCTAAGTTCAGTTCGTGAGTTAAGCTATGAAGACTACAAATGAACAGAAACGTTTTTGTACATATTTTTGGAATATTCACAAATTAAACGCTCATGAAACGGTACAAAGAGAAATTTCTTTCTAAAATTTCGATTACGAATGGTTCACACTACGATGAATACGTTTAATCATAAAACTTACCATTTGACAGTGAAGTACTGTTATTTTTTGATTGAATACTAATTGCATTGCTGACTGCATTAGTTTCACCATTATTAATATTATTGTTAATTGAAGACAGTGGTGAAACAGAATGACTATTACCATTTTTACATTGAATTGATTCAGATTTAGTATTTATAGAATGATGATGAAGAAGGATTGGACTAGAAGTCACATTTGTTATTAATGTCTTCCGAGAATCGACATTATCATTATTATTTGTACAATGGTAATTAGGATGATGATCAGAATAGTTGTTGTTGCCGCTATAATAATTGCATGAACTGAAAGAATATAAGGAGGGTTTATATGAAATATGAAATATAAAGAGTACACTAAGTAAAAAAAAACGAATGAAACACTATTGCACACTTGCAAAAAAATAAAAGTTCTCACTACTTCTTGTTCAGTGATAATTATCTTCACCAATATGACATACAGAATAAATTTTTGGAATTAGTTCACATAGGATGTTTGTCTGTCCATCATGAAATTGATATTCAAGTGTTTAGTAAACAGTCTTCTATAGAAAGCTTTATTCAAAGTGTATCCTCACTTTGTAATGGTTTATTGCATGCCAAAAAATGGATTGTCTAATAGTAACAAACTCAACTATGTTTCACGACTAAAACTTCAACTAGACCGTATTACTATTTAAAATGTCAGTATAGGGTTGTGGGGGTTGTTGAGATTTTTTTAATTAAGATCATGAACCGAACAATGTTAAACCACCATTGAAAACCTGAAAGCCCTGGACGGCCGTTTCGTCCTAGAATGGAACTACTCGGCAGTGCGCACCCACGATTTTGCACACGGGGCTCGAACTCAGGATCTTCAGTCTCACGCACGAACGCTTTACCTCTAGACCACTGAGCCGGCTGGCATCCAACGGTGTTAATGTCTAACTTCAACAGATCCGCAATATTGCGCGATCGTCCACCATTGTTTTCAGTGAGTAACTGTTTCACGCCTGACACGGTTGAACTCCACTAGTCACGGCTTCTCACTAAAACTGCGATAATTACCTATTAGAACTATCCATTAGTGAGTTTATTTATGTATTATATTTATTTTGGTTTCTGTTCATTTGACTTTTGAATTAATCGACCATAATTTTTGCTCGGTATAACATGAATTTGTATTACTTAATCCATTGTGATTTTTTATTTACTAAACTTTTGTTCAGTATAGTAATAAATTGTATCCTGTCTGTAATCCTTTGTTTAAATGACAGCTGTTCGGTTTGATAATTTCTGTAATTAATAATCACTAAATATAATTAGTATATAACTGATTAAACTGGGATGTAATTTAATTCATCGAGAGTCTTTAGTAATTAAATCTTCCTTTCAAGATTGGTACCTTGGATAGTCCAGAGGCCAAGATAGGAGAAAACTGCCATGTCGTAGCTCAGGGTGTGATAAGAATTACTGCTGATACCTCAAAGAATAAAAATCTGAAAAGTCCTTTACAGTTCGACAGATGTAATGTAACTTCTGAGTTGTTGATAAGAGATACTTCAAAAACAAATGATGTTATTTAGATGTACGTAGATAGTTTTCATGATAACCTTAATTCAGCGAAAGAATTACTTTGAAAACTGGTCAGCTGTCTCGTCTCAGTATAAAACTCTTCAGTAGATCCATGAGGTAATATTAAGCCATCAAAATCCGATTCCGACCAAATAATCTAAATGAATAACGGTCACCACAAGATTCTAAGTTCATGTCCTGATAGGATAATGAGTGTGTACTTTTGGAAGTCTTTTATTCGAATTAAAACAGTTATCTTCAATGCTTGATGGTTCTAAATGATTTTCTGGATAAGTTCAATTCAGAATATAAAATATTTTCATATATATATATATATATATATATATATATAGATTTCCAGAAATTTTCTCATTTGAAAGGAATCACTTTGAAATAATGAAAAAAATTATCAATCAAGCGGACGACAGCAAACAAGTTTCTAGCTTTAGTTAAATTTGTTCAGAAATAATGTAAAAACAAAAAACAATTACACTAAAGAATAAAAACCTGATTAGTGAAGAATAAATATTTAAATACTTAAACTAGAAAAAGAATAAAATCAATTGAAATACGTTAGTTTGCTCAATTCTTTACTTTTTACAGTAAAGAAAGCAGTAAAACAACAATGTCAGTCAATAATCAAAAGCATTCGGAACAATGAATTCATAATATTGAATATGATTGATTATTTTACAGATATATAACGTACACTACCTACACATAAACATGCACACCCAAATTCATTTGTATGTTTTGTTTCCTACATATCATGTTGATGCACTGTTTCACTGGTACTTTATTCTCAATTTTATTCGAAACATGATTCATCTTGTTAAGTCATTTGGTTACTAATCTTAAAGCTTAACACTTCGAATTTTACTTTTTGACTTTCTATAGTGATACAAAACTCTACTTCACAACTGATCTAGAGAGTAATGAAGTTTCATCAATTAATTCATTTTGGGCCTTGATCATCAAGAATAATCTGTTTGGTTGTGTTATTCCTTCTCCTCAGTTATTCTTCTGAACCAACTTAGACTAGTGTAGTAAAATTTCGAGAATTCAATAAAAAGAAGCTCGTAAAACCGAAAACTATTAATATATTTTAATCACATTTGTATTGCATTAGTACATTAGTACCGTACTTTTGGTGGCCTTTGAAAATGTTTTCTAAAATTCAATAGAGATAAGTACCAACTCATTACAGTTGAGTTCTGAAACATCTCTATCTGAGCATGACTTCTAGGTAGATCTTGATACGATCAGAAATTAATCAATACTATATAAATATATATCATTTACAAAAAACCAATACACAATCATTAACATAGAAATAATAATAACTAGTGTTAAAAATTATTTGCATAAAGGAATCGATAGTTTTTCTATAGATTAAAATATTACTGATAATTTTATTCGTAATTTGATACTATCTAAATAATCAGTGAGATTTACATTGAACAAAACAAATAAATTTGATTAAATTCAACATTTTGAGACCGTACACATACATATAACATTTATTCAACATGAAATAATAAACAGTAATATTTCAATGGTAATATCAACCATACAGGATGCTGATTTTAATCCTTGTAGTATATGGTTATGAAGAGTTATTACCATAGTCAGATGTCAAGTGATTATCAAATAATATATATTCATGTAAAATAAACATGAAATCGGCAATTGTATAAAATGAGAATATTTAAAGTAAAATCACGATGGGGGGTGGAGTGCCGAAAATTGACAAAACTCATAGGAATTAAGACCAAAGTATCACTCAGAAATGTTACATAAACCTCTGATATCGAATAAAATAATTACATAGAATAAAATTAATTGGTTTATTGATAATATAAGAAAATTAATCAATAAAATGACTAGTGACTGGATATTTACCACTATAATAAAACAAGACAAAATCAATTAGAAATAAGAACTAAGTAGCATTGACCTTAGTTACTCAATTTATCTAGTTACTGGTTAATGTAATGATCTTCACGAAAGTTAAATCTTTCTTTAAGTTATTTAATATAATGAACAAATAGTGAAAGAAAGAAATAATCTAAAAATTTATAACGAAGTAAAAAAACAACTCATTTCTGTTGATTCTTTGTATACAGAATAGTTTACTGAATGTCGGTTGTTATAATATTGCTTTCTTTTCTGGAAATAAACACAATTTCCTTTCGTTCTAGTATAAAAATAACATGCAGTTATACATAAATATATATAATAAAGATTACTATCGTGAGACTTAGAACAACACAAATATAAGTGAACAATATTGTTTTCAATTAGATCGTCCGTCAGGCTGTATTCTAATATAGATAAACATTTACATGTAAATTTTAAACCAATCAAGGCAATTTATGAGTCAATGATCATTATGGAATAGATTGTATGACTATATATAATAGGTAAACAGTGCAAATTGTCAGTAAGAAGACAGACGTACTAGTATTGGTAAGAATAATAAAGTAGCAGAAGTTCTAGTCAATAGTTTAACATGGAAAGTAGGTCAAACGCCAAAAAAAGTAGACATTAGAATAATAATCGCAAAACACTATTAAAATTAAGTAGCATGAAGTATGTAAATAATTAAATAGTAAAGAATATAAATGGGAGGAGATGAAAGGCTACAAACAAATACGAGGTGTGACAAAAAAAAATTTTCTAATGCCAAAAATGTAGAAGACAGAGTCAAAACCCCATTAGGAAATAATGAGGGTACATGATGGAACGTCCGAAATGAATTGGCTTCGTTTACCATAGTACCACTGTCAACAAAGTGTGGGGGCAAGGTAGGGCTTAGGATTGTCTTTTTCTGGGCTTTTCCAAACCAAAGTGAGAGATGTTCACTTATTTGTCGGTTAAATTGTATGATAGTACATCCAGTATAGCTACCTTCAAGGAGCTAAAAAATTTTATTATTTTATTACTCTTATCAATACTTATGTACCTGTCTTCTAACTATCAATTTGTATTTTTGCCTACTATATGTCGTTATGCAATCTACACCATAGTGATCATTGACTCATAATAAATTGCCTTGATTGGTTTAAGGTTTTCATGTAAATATTCATGTATATTAGAGTAAAGCCTGATAATGATCGATAAATATGTGGACATGGAAGAATGATAAGAAAAGATGTAGGCAACATGAAAATCAATTTTAAAGATAATAACAATTGTTAATCATTCTATTTATTGAAGATAGTTTACTAAATAGTATGTAAATCCTTTAACACACACACACAAATACATCCCCACATATGTACACACAAATACGATCAGACATTAGATGTCAAGACGAAAACTACCTATAAAACGCATTATAGTATCCAAACTAGAATGAAGTTATCATTCGAGCAATAATCGTGATTGGAAAATAGTGGTATTTCTACCTTATTTAACATAAAATTACAATCCCCATCGAAATTGATGTTGTGTTTATATTTTTATGTTGGATTAAAATAATTTTAGAATTTTGTCCTTTTGTTTTAGAACAAGCAAGATACACTGACGGAAGAGAGTTAACTTCCAAACATTAAGTAATGTAAAACAGTCAACCCAATACAATTTACCAGTAGTAACGAAGCATGTATTTGTGTGTATGTATACATTTGGGGCGACCGAACCAACAATCAACAAGAACAAACAACAACGACTGAATACACTTCAAGTTCATACTTAGGTTATTTTAAGACTTCACAATCAAAGTAAATCAATCATATGATATCTTAAAA